TAGCATCACCCTTATACCAAAAACCAGACAAGGACAAAACAACCAAAAGAGAAAATTACAAACCAATGTCCCCAATAAATACAGATGCAAAAGTTCAACAAAATTCTAGCAAACTGAAACCAACAGCACATCAAAAAGATTATACACTATGATCAAGTGGGATTTATTCCAGGGATGCAAGGTTGGTTCAACATATGCAAATCAATAAATTTAATTCATTACATCAATAAAATGAAGGATAAAAACTATATGATCCTGCTAATAGATACAGAAAAAGCATTTGACAAAACTCAACATCTATTCATGGTGAAAACTTTTAACAAATCAGATATAAAAGGAACATATCTCAATACAATTAAGGCCATATATGACAAACCTCTGAATAAGGAAAATTTTTTTCCTTTAAGATCTGGAACAAGACAAGGATATCCACTCTTACCATTCTTATTTAATACAGTAATAGAAATTCTAGTAACAGCAATTAGGCAAGAGAAGAAATACAAGAGAAGAAAAAACTGAAAAGCAATAAATCCAACTACCCTTGTAGGATTTCAAATATAGAAATACCTAAAGACTCCAGCAAAAAACTGTTAGAAATGACAAGCTCATTCACTATAGTTGCAGGATTGAAGATTAACATATAAAAACAAAACAGTGTTTCTACATACCAATAATGAGCTAGCTTAAGAAGAAACCAAGAAAGCAATTTAATTTACAATGGCTACCCCAAAACAAAAACAAAAAACCTATAACAACCCTAGGAATAAACTGAATTAAGGAAATAAAAGAACCCTTTCAACACACACACACACACACACCAAAACAACAACAACAACAACAACAACAACAAACCTATAAAAGAAATGGAAGAGGGAACACACAAAAACTGGAAAGAGGGCTGGGTTGTGGCTCAATGGTAGAGTGCTTGCCTCGAATGCGGGGAGCACTGGGTTAGATCCTCAGCATCACATGAATAAATAAAATAAAATAAAAGTAAGGTGTCCATCTACAACTAAAAATTTTTTAAAACTGGAAAGACACCACACATATGTGGAATGAAAGAATTAATATTATTAAAATATACATACCACCCAAAGCAATCTACAGACTCAATGCTATCCCTATCAAAACACCAATGATATTTTTCAAAGAAATAAAAATAAAACTCCTAAAATTAATATGGAGCCACAGAAGACCCCAAATCACCAAAGCAACCCTGAGCAAAAAGAACAAAGCTGAAGTCATCAACAAATATTAGATTTCAAAGCAGACTGCAGGCCAGATATGATGAATGATTAATATCCCAGAAAATTGAGAGGCTGAGAAAGGAGAATGGCAATTTCTAGGTTCTCACAATTCAGTGAGACCCTATCTCAAAAAAATAAAAAGGATTGAGGATGTAGTTCTATGGTAGAGAGCCATTGGGTTCAATCCCCAGTACTGCAAAAGCAAACAAACCAAAAAAACCTTACAGATCTATAGTAACCAAAACAGCATAATACAGGCATAAAAAACCAGCACAGAGACAAATGAATAGAGAAACCAGAAACAATGACAAATTTATAGTCAACTGAATTTTTACAAAGACAAGAAGAACACCCACTGGAAAAGGGCAATCTCTTTAATAACTGATGCTGGAAAAACTCAATATCCACATGAAGAAGAAAAAACTAGAGACCTATCACTCACCATGTATACAAAAACCAACACACCAAGAAAAGACTTAACCTGAACTATTTAAAATACCAGGAGAAAAACATAGGCGAATCAATTTAGGGTGTAAGTCTCGACAAAAAATTTGGGATATGGTCCCATAGGAACAGGCAATAACAGCAAAAATAGACAAAGAGGATTATACTAAACAAAAAAGCTTCTATGTATCCAAGGAAAAAAACAGACTTGATTGATGATCTATAAAATGAAAATAAAATATTAGTAAACTACTTATTCAATAAAAGATTAATATATATAATATATAAGGGACTCAAACCACTCAACACCAAGAAAAAACAATTATAATGGGCAAATTATTTGAACAGGCATTTCTCAAAGGAAGATATAAAATTAACAAGTATATGAAAAAATTCTTAACTTCATTAATCATCAGGGAAATACAATTCAAAACTACAAAAGAGATATCATTTTCTTCCCAGTTACAATGACTATTCTAAAAAAAAATCAAATATAGGCAAGGATATTTGAAGTTTAAGGAATACTCATATACTACTGATGGGAATGCTAATTAGCAATAGCCATTATGGAAACAGTATAGTTTCCTCAAGAAACCAGAAATAAACTACCAAATCATCTAACAATTCTATGATTGGATTTAGAGACAAAGAAAATGAAATCACCATAATGAAAAGGTATCTGCACTCCTGTGTTTAATGAAGCATTATTTGCAATATCCAAGATATGGAAACAAGCTAAGGATTCATCAAAGATTAATGGATAATTTACACACACACAAATATTATTATTTATCCATATGAAAAATGAAATCCTCAATGATTAAGTAGAAGAGAGAGTCTACGGTATGGGAGCAAATTTTTACCACACACACATATCAGATAGAGAACTAATTTCTAGGATATATAAAGAACTCAAAAGACTTAATATAAAAAAAAAACACTAAATGGGTTAACTGAACAGATACTTCTCAGAAGATATACAAATGATCAATAAATATATGAAAAAGTGTTCAACATCTTTAGTGATTAGAGAAATGTAAATGAAAACTAAGATTTCAACTCATCCCACTCAGAATGGCAGTTATCAAGAATACAAGCAGTAATAAGTGTTGGAGAGGATGTGGGGAAAAAGGAATACTCACACATTGCTGGTGGGACTGCATATTGGTGCAACACTTTGAAAAGCAGTGTGGAGATTCCTCAGAAAACTTGGAATGGAACCAACATTTGACCCAGCTACCCCACTCCTCGGTCTATACCCAAAGGATTTAAAATCAGCATACGACAGTAACATAGCCACACCGATGTTTACAGCAGTTGAATTCACATTAGCTAAACTGTGGAACCAACCTACAACAGATGAATGGATGAACAGATGAAAGGGAGGGAATTCAATAGATGAACGGATGAAGAAACTGTGGTATATATAAACAAAGGAATATTACTCAGCATTAAAAGAGAATAAAATTATGGCATTTGCAGGTAAATGAATGGAGTGGGAGAATATTGTGCTAAGCAAAGTAAACCAATCCCAAAAAACTAAAGGCTGAATGTTTTCTCTGATAAGTGGATACTGATCTATGATGGGGGTGGGGAGAGGGAATGGGAAGAATGGAGGAACTTTGGATTGGGCAAATGGGAGGGTAAGGGAGGAATTATGGGAGTAAGAAAGATGAGGGAATGAGATGGTCATCAATACCCTAGGAACATGTATGATTGCATGAATGGTGCGTCTCTACACCATGTACAACCAGAGAATTGAAATGTTGTGCTCCATTAGTGTACGATGAATTGAAATGCATTCTGCTGTCATGTACAACTAAGTAAAACAAATCATCATCATCATCATCATAGAAATCCTGTCACTTTGTAGCAACATGGATAACTAGAGAAAATTATGTTCAGTAAAGTCAGGCCCAGAAATACATGTAGAAACTAAATCCAATGCTCCTCAGGAGCAAAATAGAGTTATCAGAGGTTGAGAAGTATGTGGGGGAAAGACGGAGAAAGAATGGTTAATGGGTAGAGGGGTACAGCTGGATAGGAGGAATAACTTCTGTGGCATAGTAGGTAACTATGGTTAATAGCAAGTACGTAAATATTTTAAATTTTTGAATGTACCCAACATTAAAAAAAAAATTACATCTGAGGTAATGAATATATGCCAGTTACTTTGATCTGATCATTACACATTGTATACAAGTAGTGAAATATTACTATCACCCATAAAAATCATAAGCCAGTTGTGGTGGCGCACACCCATAATCCCAATGGCTTTGGTTGCTGAGGACGGAGGATCGCAAGTTCAAAGCCAGCCTCAGGAACAGTGAGGGCTAAGCAACTCAGTAAGACACTGTGACTAAATAAAATACAAAATGTGCCTCAGTGGTTGAGTGCCCCTGAGTTCAATCCCCAGCATGCCCCCCCCCCAATTAAATAAATAAATAAATAAATCAAGCAAGCACATTTTTAGTAAATATGTAGATATATTTTTTCAAGAATATTGGTTTTATTTAGAATATTGAAATACAAAAACAAAAATTTACATACCTATAACCATTGTGAAAATGTTAGAACCACTACAATGTGAAAATACTAAGGCACTGTTCCTTGAAATAATGTATTTAATATTCAGAAGTTCGTAAAGAAATATTTTTAATAAAATTGATTCAATCTTCTTATATTTTGCCCTGAAAGACAAACTTAAACAAGTAGTAAGATATCCTAATGAAAATTGTATGATATACCCAGGTTCAGGAATATCACTAGGTAAAAGGGTTTATATACCTGGATGTTTTAGCTTTTCAACATATTTTGTTTCATCACAGCAATACATCAACCACAACAAGGCATAATCAGGCATAAAGTCATTCTGTTACATAATTTGACACAAAAGGTAGGAATATTACCAATGGGATAATGGAAAAAAACCTTTAAAATTCTATAAAACTATTGAGAAGTTAGAGTTTGAACTATGTAATACATTCTGAAACATTCTCTCACTTTTGTGTATTTGTTTGTTTAGTATATTTGAAAAAAGTTCATCCTGGAATATAAATGTAATCAGCCATAGTATGAAGGAGTTCTGTATTTCTGATGGCGCTGAGTCTTTGCTCTTTGGCATAATATGTGACAAAATAACTTGGCAGCAGGAGACGATATCTACATTCTTTGCAAAACAAAAACTTGAGATTTCTACAGTGAATATCTAAGTAATATCATCTACTCTGGCTTATATATCGACCTTATACTTGAAATATTTTTCCATAAATGTCAGTAACAGTGGACATGTGCCAAACACATATAGTGATAAAAGCAAATAAAAACAACAAGAAAATCAAAGCATACTTATAACTTTTTACTTTTGCTTGTGATGACCTTCTGTGCTCTGGAACTCCTGTGTTACATAAAATTGGAACTGGAAAGAGAAAAAAAACTTTTGATTGGTACAACACAAAACAATACAGGAAGTAAAAATTACCAGAGTCATTAGTTTTACAAAGATTTTACAAAGAAAATATATTACAGGATATTTAGCTACAGGGTTTTGAAAAAGAAAACAAAAAGCAACCACCAAACCATAATTTCTTGAGGATAAATTCTGAGCTCTATGAATGCAGTTCTGATTTTGCAAACTGCATGGTTCTCAAGTGCAGTAGGGTGACAATTTTTACAATGTAAATGTAAGCGGTCTTTAATTTGAAAGGAAAATTAATTTTAGTAATATCTGAGATACAAGAATAAAGCAAAATATTGTTTAGTTTTATAATTTTAAAAAAGTATGTTGGAAAGCAGTACTATTATAATATTATAATATCTACAGTCTATCTTTTGAAATTCAATTCTTGAATCAAATATCACTATTATACTATCACATTCATTCTTAAAAATTGCAAGAAACACAGGCATTGAGAAAATTTAAGTCTTGTTCTGGGTCTATCATAGGAAGACACGACTTTGCTAGGGCACAGGTGGCTGGAGTAAACTGAGGCAAAGACCACAAAGGAGCACTCTGAACAGAACAAATCATGAATTTCACTATAGTCAAATAGGTAAACTGATAAGGACATTTTAAGTGGAAGAAATAAAATGAAGGACACAAAGTACAAAAGGAGATCAAAAAAGGGGGAAAAAAAACTTATTTTCTAAAACTTTGGTAACTTTGATTTTAACACATACCAAAACCTACAAGCTTGAGATTATCATCCAATTGCTACTCATGGCCGCCCCCTTGTACTGTGGCCCTCTCTACCTTCCTCAGCATCTTTACGTCCATCATTGGTTTCACATGTTCTGACATCAAAGCACAGGAGTTCGAATCGATAGCCTGGGTCCCTTATTAAAATAAAAATTCTCACAAAATCAATAATCAAAAGGATTGGTTAAAAGAAAAGTGAGCCTAAGAATTAGGGTTTTTTCCCCCAACAAAGTACAGAGTTTCAATTTTGACACAAAACTCAAAATAACTGATGGTAGGTCAGCAGTCATTACCTGTATACTAAGGGCACATCTGGGCTGTGAAATAGCTAATTTTTTCCCAGCTAACTGACCCTTTTCTACTATGATGTATATTTTTTATCTTGTTCATTCAGTTGCCAAATATTTACAAAGCCCCTAGTATGTGTCAAGTACTGTTCTAGCTTTGGGAAAAGAGAAGTAAATGAGAAAGATAAGGTCTGTGCTTGTGCTCTTAAGGAGCAGCAGTTTGAGTTTCAGAAGGCAGGCAGAGAGTAACTAAACAGGAACTAGAATTAGGAAGATCAAGTAGAACCAGGAGGATTGTGGTGTGGCCCAGTATTAGAATGCTTACCTAGCACTGCATAAGGCCCTGGAGGTTTGATCCCCAGTATGGAATTTTGGGGGTGGGCAGGGGTGGGGGGGCAGGGAGCAGAGCCAAGAGACAGTAGAGGAGGGAAGGGCTACAGATGCAGAGTGGTGGAGGCTCTTACTTCTTACGGTCCTTGTCCTTCTTTATGTTACTACCCGATGCCATATAGGATTGGTTCAGGAATATGTCACAACTAGATTTTCTTTTAGAAAAATGGATCCTTTCTTCTTCCAAAGCTCTTCTCCTTTCTTCAAGTTTTAGTCTTTCTTCTTGGTGAATTCTTTTAAGGTGCTCAAATTTGGCATGCAGCTGTGAAATAAAAATGTAATTTCCATTACTGACACAGTGTGGCAGCACATGCACAACAATGCTCTCTGGCTCAGCAACTAGATAACCCCAACTTCTACTTATGGTCATCATTTTCCTAATGCTAAGTTCATGCTTCAAGTAAAAGTTTACATATGGAATTGCCTTGGTAATTTTAATAATGATTTCCCATGCAAAAAAATGCTTGAACCATATAAAATACAAACTATAGCCTCATTAAAAAAACTGACCTTTTTCTGGGTTTTTTATTTTATTGCTTTACAAGATTCTCTTCAAAGCCTCTTTAATAAAGTTTCTCAAGTCCATGCTCAAAAAAATAAGGGCCATGAAAGAGCAGAAGGAAATTATCATAAAGAAAATAGCCACTTATTTTCCTAATAAAGCTAATGTGAAGTTATACTGGCAAACCCTACTAGAAAGCAAATGTTAGCTGTCAGTTTGTCAAGAACCTTACAAATATACTGCATATTTACAGTCATTCAGTAACTTCTTGAAATATAAACAAAGAAATCCTGAATTCAAAAAAGCTTGAAAAAATATTTTAGTAGAATTTACACTATAATGGGGAAAAAAACAGATTACATATCCAACAGAGACAGTAAAAAATAAATAAATTTAGGTTAAATAAATTCAATGCAGCTGTGGGAGACCTGAATTTGCCATTCTAAAATATGAAGGCCTAGTTAGCTGAAGACAATTAAGAAACAGATGTACAAGAGATCTCTGTTCTCCTTATAATGCCTAAAAGCAGGGCAGAGATTTACAAAGAGTACCCTGCATCTCCCTCACAAGGGGAACAAAGGTTTTACCAGCAGCCTAGAGAAAGCCTCAGAAGACCTTTTATTCACAAGCCTTACTAACTAGCCTTTATCTGCCTTTTCTTTTCTCTTGTTAATTCTTTAAAAATTCACTGTTCTTTGTTGAAGATTCTATAGTATCTTAAATTCAAAAGCACCTCTCTGAGAATTACTCATTGACTGGATATCTCTCATGTATACGTGAAGTATAGATGTTAGTAAGCTCCAATTTTCTGTGTTAATCTGAACACAAGAAGTCTGTTCCAACTAAGAATCTAAGGGGGTTCTTCTTTCCCTATTCATAAAAAAGCAGAAATGTAGAAAGAAAAATATAAAGACCATAAGCCAGTAAATTTTTATTTCCTTGGGGCTGAAAATCACTTTGATAAATCATATGAAGGGAACATTGTCAACTTAAAGGCAGGCCTGTGTTTAACTTTATTCTGCTCCCCAATTTAAGGAATTCTTTATGCGAACAACAGAAGGCATATTTCTCAAATGGCATAAAACTCTGAGAAACAAAGAGCATTTTTATTAAAAAGGAAGCTTTTAAAAAATTGAGGGGCGGTACTTAACATTTTTAAAGTAAGATGTCTGGCAGAATAAGCACTCAAGAAATACTAGTCATAAACAAAACAAGGAATCCCAGCTCTCTCCACCCTTCTATTACTGCCATCAAAGAAACCTTTAGCACTCCATGTTATAATTAATTGTATGAGCAACTTCTTCCTGAGGATTGCTTAGGAGCTCTGCTTTTTTCATCTTTCTACTCCTAGCACCCAGCAAAACATAATGGAAGAACTAGTAATGAAAGGACATACAGATAAAATGTATGGGAAGTGCTGCAAGTAAGCTTACTGGAGTACACAAGGAATGAAGGTGTGAAATGGGGGTCAACTTCATGCTTTGAGTATGAACCCAGCTGCTTGGCCTCTGGCAGCTTATTTTAAAACTAACATGTACTGCCCCCAACCCTTCCTCCTCTCCTCCTTCTCCATTCCCCCCAAAACTCAAGGATTCAAATTAATGTTTATTCCCATTTCAGGCCATCCACTTCAGCTCACTGATCAAAAGAAGAAAGGTATCTGTGCCAAGTCTGAGCAGTCGGCTATCTGAAGGTCACTGCTATGATTTGGATAACAGCTGTCCCCAAAAGCTCCAGTGTTAATGCAGGAATATTTGCAGGTCAAGTGAATGGACTGTGAGAGCTATAACATAAGCAGTCCATCCTTGTTTGATTGCACTGAATGAATGGTAACCAGGCTGGCAGGGCATGGCTGGATTAGGTGGGTCACTGGGTGTGTACCCCGCAAGGGTGGTTTTTACTTGAGGCCCCTTCCTTGCTTCCTACTCTGCTTCCTAACCCCTCCTTGAGCTAAGCAGCTTTCCTCTGCTGGGCCCTTCTACCATGACGTGTGCTTCAACTTGGGTCCAGAATAAGGAGTGAGCCATCTATGAACTGAGACTTCTGAAATTGTGAGCCCCAAATAAATCTTTCCCCCTTTACATTGTTCTTTTTGAGTATTTGGCCACAACAACGCAAAGCTGACTAAAATAGCCACCATCTGAATAGGAATCATATCTTCTGATAGGCACATCCTGAGCTTGGTCCCCTGAGCCTGGTCCCCGAATTTCCCTTTAAAACCCCTTTGTTTCCCCCCTGTAAGGGGAACAATAGTTCTTGAGATACTAGTCTACTACTCTTCTCATTTTCAAGCAAATCAATAAATGTCTTTTCCATTTTTTTCAAAACCTTGTCTTCATTATTTGGATCAGCACTGGGTATAAGGACAAAGATTTTTGTAACAGGTAAAGCTAGTTTAATTGTAGTTTACCTTAAAAATAACAATCTGGGGACTTGAGCAGACTCCACATGAATCAACTATGTGCTTGCCTACCAACATCAAAGTGCAGAATTTAAAATCTAAAAGATAAACTTGTTTTTTGTCCTATAGTCTGATTAGATACTGAGATTAATATTATCAGTTCTGTGTAGCACTTGAGCATTCATGCAAATTAATAAAAAGCAACTTCCTGATAAGCCCTTTTCTGCATCCTGAACTTTCTCAAGCTGAGATTGAAAACTGAAAAATACCCCCTGGCCCTTTCTGTACCAAGGAAGACAGAAAGTTTTCAACTGACATTCACTGTCTTACATAGCCAAGTTAAATTTACACATATTTCTATAAATTATAACCATTATCTTAGGACCTGGGAAAAAAACAATCCATCTGCTTTTCTCCAGTTTGATCAAACTGCATAAAATTCATTTTATCTTTTTACATCATTTGCTTATTTCTGATACAGGTAGGCAGATGAATCCAACCAGTCAGGATCCAGGTAGGTACCTGGTTTGGGTGATAGTTGGACTTGGTGTTGGAAAAGATGGTATATAATCATAGTTGGGTTTCAAGATGGAGAAATAGAAGAGGTCACTTTCCTGGCTGCTTCATGATGTGAAACCAAGAAAGCAAATAAGCAACTTCTCAGCAGTGGGTGGGAAAAATAAGTGACTTTGCTGGAAATTAATACTGGTCATTCAAAGCATATGGAGAGCTCAGGAAGCTGAATATAATAAAATAAAGAAGAAATCCCAAGCACCACCGTCATAGCAAGCTAAAACACCACCACCACCACCAAGCTTGAGCAAAGTGGATGGATAAAAGAATTAAAGAACCCACATTTTTAGGAGGCCTGTGGTTAAGACAATGATGAACTAACCTGAAAGGCATGCTGCACAAGATCAACGTGCAGGAAAGAAGGTGCATCTCTCCCAGCTGCCCATGGAGGACAGAGGAAGGAGCCATTTTGTAGCCAAGCTGCTAGCCCCCAACAGCTGGGTGAGCAGAACCTGGTGAACCCAAGCTGGGCCCAAAATACAGGCCTGGCAAACACACACTGCATGACATACAGTATGCCTAAGTGACTAGGAGAAAATCAAACACAGGAAGGGGTTTATACAGGGGAATAGAGGTCATGGATACCCACCTGGCCAAAAGCCCGCCCCTCCAATCTAGCTGCTTGCAATACAGCAGGGAGAGGAGACCAGCCAGAAATTTGAAAGGGTCAGGCACCTACCTGAATGAACATGAAACGCGGGGGTCCAGGGGTAACGGAGGGGACAAAGGATTGGCTCTTCTACTGCACATCTGGTCTAGGGGAGATTCCTGGAGTGTAGTCTCCTAGTGTGGACAGGCAACTACTGGGCCCTGGAGGTGTGCCGATTTAAAATCTTCAAATCAATTGCTATTCAACAAAGAACCTAGAACCTATTTAGGCCTAAACCTCACACCCAGAAGCTCCACCTATAGGATCTACTTTCATACACTAACAACCACACTCTGAAGGTGGAGCAGGCGTCACACTTTATCCCACTACACCTAACACTGAGGAGAAGGGAAGCTGAGAATTTTTTGAACTCCAAAGGAAACAATTCTTTGACTTTTCATGGGAAAATTTTTCTTCTTTTTTTTTCATTAATTGTGATGTAAATGCATACATAGTTGTCAATTTTTTCTAACTTCAAGCATTTTTTGAAGGCAGTTATTTTTTATGACTAAGTACTGAGGACTGGGATATTTGATTAGTACATTTCAGTTTTGTTTTGTATTCTTTTATTTTTTAAATTTTTTGTTTTACAATTTCTTCTCTCACTTATCTGTTTCCTTTGATTCTTTCTCTCCTCTGTTAACAAACTCTATTTTTCTTTCACTCTTCCTTTATTTTTTAAATTATATTGCTCTCCTCTCCCTCATAATCATCACATCTTAGATCTTGTCTGTGCTCTCCCTGTTCAGCATTTGAAATTGTAAACCTTTTTACTATTATAACTGATTAGATCATTTCTGTTTATTGTAACAATTAGCATTGTAGATGTCACAGAAAGGTTGTTGTTATTTATTTACCTATCCCTAAATTTTGAGTTACTAGAAATCTTCAGGGACACTTTAAGCCAAAAAGTAGAAACTCTACCCATACTGTTACATGGGTAGACACACAAACAATATGAAAAAGCAAGGAAACAAACTGCCCCAAACAAACCAGAATACTTCAATAACAGAATCCATCAACACCACAGTGGAAGAGATGTCAGTTTACAAAGTTCATGGTATAGGATGAGGTAAAGAGTAAAATTAGAAAATACAATAAGTAAAAGGTCAATAAAGAGATTCTGTAAAAAAGCAC